GAATTGGTTATTTTATTGTGAAGGAAAGGGGTGTATTTATAGGCTTTTGGGAGCTGCAGGGTCTGATACCCGATCGGGTATATAGGATACCCGATCGGGTATCTCAGGAAATTGCCTAGAAAGTCACTTTTCTAGGCATACCCGATCGGGTAAGGGTATATACCCGATCGGGTATGTGACAAATCTTTATGAAAATTTGCTTCCACGATCATTTGTCTTCGGATTTGATTTGGACAGTCGAATCAAGCAATTACCCGATCGGGTATAGGCAATACCCGACCGGGTACATGAGTATTTTTTCCAAATCGAAATCTTTCTTGTCTCCTTGCACTTTCCTTGATCTTGTAAGGTCCAATCTTGATCCCTTAAATGATCTTTGACCTGTTTAGCTCAGAAAAATCCTAATCTAACTAAATTACAAATAAAAATGAAAATAAAGTATTACACCAAAAGTGTGTAATTTCCACAACTAGAACTAATAAAAACTAGTTAAAAATAAAAACATACAATCGGAAATTACATGAATATCATGAACACAGACCAAATGACAAGACACATGCATAAGGAACAATGAAGGGGTACACGGTTGGACCAGTAACAGTCAGAGACACACGTGTTAAAAGACAATGAGAAGCATTTAAAGATAGTCAAATGTGGCCATTATGTATGACCATTTGCAGTAAACACATGTCATGGGCAATGAAGTGGCAGGAAACAAGTGTTGTTATATTAAGCAGATCACATAGAAGGGAACAAATAGGTGTGAAAGGAGGAACATAGACAAGTTAGAGGGCATAATCAGTGACATCGGAGTGCAATGAAGCAAGAAAGTGACACAGGTGCAAGCACACACCTAAAAGTTCATTTCCATTAAAAGCCTAGGTCAGCACACCAACAAAAACTCAAGGTTTCGTCAAGGAAACAAACCCCACAATTCAAAGTTCACATACTGAAGCACCAAACACCACCAAACACACAAAATGATGAAAGCGGAAGTGTAATGCACTTACATGAGCCACAAAGGTAGAGGCCACATCAGCAGCCGCACTTCCCCAGCACCTGAAGCCAAACCAAATAATTTATACACTCATTCCATAGTAAGAATCGGACAAACATGACAATATACACAACTTACAAGGATAACAAAGCATGAAAAGAACATGCCACACCCCCCAAACAACCATTAAGAACGCACACAGGTCCGATCCCATCGCCTACTGGCCCAAACAACAAAAGTAGGCACCGCAGCCCCAAAACATGTACTCCCACCACAGACCAAATGTCAACACCTCATAAATGTCAACCAAATCCAGCGACTTTCAGAACCAAGAATCCATGTAACGGCGTAACAACGGCACACCACACGGCCAAACATCAAATCCAATAAACACATTTAAAAAGGCCATTCTGGCCAAACAAGCACGCACTACACCACAGTAACGGAGAAAATCAGAGCACCACCCAACGAACAAGCACCAAAGCTTGAAATTAGAGTTTTGATGTGAGTTTTCTCGTACTTAAAAAGATTGTAGAATAGTGGTGAAAAGTACGAGTATCGTCTCCACAGGGACGGACAAAAGGGAATTAAATATTAACTAAATTCAGCGATTAAAAAGAAATAAATAAAATAAATGCGATGTGCGAGATTGGTTGATTTGAAATTAAACTAATGCGAATGAACGATTAAATTAAAAGATCGGTTTCTTCTCAATTAACGACGAAGGGAACATGGATTGATTCCGGGGTAACCAGATTTCTGGCAGATCAGGCCTAATTACATGAATTTAATTTAATTGAGCCTAGCTAATCATTACTAAGTTCTTACCGCTCTCGCGGCATAGAGTACAATAATTTAGGGGACCAGACTGATCTCTCATGCGACGGGATCTTAAATTATTGCCAAGATGAGCGAGCTTACTGTCACGGATCGTTGGTCGTGACCGTGTTGGCTCAATGAATGGGACGGACCGACTGGCTAGCTAGTCGGGCGAGGCATGGGGGAGGCAATAGCGTCAAGGGGAGTTCTGCCTTAGACGCTAAGGTCTGGCCGAGTTGGGCATGTAGGGCTTGACTATGAGGGAGACGGAGGCGGAGTTGAAGGCACAACTGGTCGGGAGCTATTTCCGTTCCCCTAATGAGCCCAAGGCAGGGCGAAACCAGTCCGGTTCCGAATAAGAGCAAGGCTTGTCTGCGGGGTGAGGGACCCCGGGACGCCACACAGGCGCTGTGCGCTACGCCAGACTTTATGCCCGTGACATTACGCCCCCTTAATCGCTACTAATCTCTTAGCGAACGATTAAGTGTGTGTGAATGTGTCCTAGAATAAACTAGATCTCTCTTAATTTATTCTACAAGCAATTGTAATACTAGCGCAGGTTCTAAGTTACAAGAGATATCAGTTAAATTATTCAAACACAAATTAAACGGCATTCATGCAATTAGTCCATCAAGAATCTAGCCATACATCATGATTGACCCCTTCATCAACAACCCCAAATCCCTAATTAAAGTACTCACAATTCATAATTGAAGAATCAACAGAATTGGGATGAATAGAAATAATTGTCATTAATTAAAAAGATGAACTTACAAATAATCCCAGAGTCTTGGAGTAAATAATCTTAAAAACGCAAGTAATTTCGTCCATAGGCCTCTCTGTAATGTTCGTAACCCTTAAACAGGAGAAGGGAGGTCTTATTTATAGAAAACAGATGAGTTTGGGCTGAACTGGGACTAAAACGGGGTCAGACACGGCGTGCCTAAGGGCCAGGCACGACCGTGCCTGCGGATCAAGGCCGAAATTCTCGTTTCTGGTCCAGGCACGACATGCCAAAGGTCCAGACACGACATGCTTGTGCATTCCAGCAGCCTGGTACATCGTAACACTACAGGCACGGCGTGCCTCCCTGGGCACGACCGTGTCTTCCTTTCCGAATTTGAAGATGTTTCCTTCATGAAAGTTGTAGATAACGAACTCCTCTATCCACCACAACTTTTAGAATTGGATTTGAATCATCCAATCAAAAGATATGAATAAAATGGTGGAAGGTTGCATTCTGAAATCGCAATAGGGATCATCTGACTTCATTGTCTGTTTTCACCTTTCTCCTCTCAGATTCTTGGAAGGATGTCTTCCTATGATTTGTAGTCCTTTAAGTTAGCTTTCATATGGAACTTTAATCGTGTCCTTTGGATGTTTCTACAAAAAGATATGCTTGAACGATTGACAGAAGGTCACCCTGATCGTCGTTTTCAAGCTTTATTCGTCTTCTTTTGATCCCGTAGCCAATCCTAGAGATCTTTTGACTTCAAATCTTCATCATGAACCTCCCGGTGACCTCCAAAGCTCTCAACTCGTCTCGATTGCCTCTCAAGCGCCGTTGTCGGGCTCAAATGCCCTGATTTTGGCTCCAACAATACAAAACTCGAACCAACACCCGGTAAACATGACTTGAGATAAAATTGAGACTAATAACAACTTAAAGCTATGAAAACCATCAAAAACTAATCTCAACACGCATCAAATGCGTGTCGAAATACGGACTTATCAAGTTTCAAGCCTAAAGCCCCAAAATGAGAAACATTGCAATTGAGCCGCCAAAACAGAACTCCAAGAAAAGCCTCACAGACCGGCGAACCCACAGACAGATAACACTCCCACTATTCCCACCGAAAAATAAACAAGCCCCATGGGGCGAACTGGAGGTACAAAAAGGGAGATCTGAAGGTACATGTATGGAGGACATACAGATCGAGTCAAAGAACAAGTGCAGAGGATGGAAGAGAAGCCAAGAAAACCAAGACGAAACGGAAAAATGGAGTGGAGGATGCATGTGAATATGTTTTTCCGTTGTAGGAGTCAGCTCTGACGAAAATGTCTCACCAGTAAGCTCCAACAATAACCGAATGGGATAAGGGTCAGTTTGGTCCTCAAAGTTGCAAAAAAAGGGTCAAATAAGTCCTTATATAGAAGATTCTGTCCGGACGTGCCATTTGAGGTGGCTCCCAGTGGAATTTTTTGATGAATTTTTTTTTAGCATCTTATTCATTAAGTCTAGTTTACTCATACCAAATTTTAGATAAAAATTCAATCGGAAAGACATTCAAATGAATTTTTGAAGATAACTGTGCCGTTAAAAGCGCTATTATCTTCAAGAATTCATTTGAATATCTTCCCGATTGAATTTTTAGTTGAAATTTGGTATGAGTAAACTAGACTTAAAAAATAAGATGCTCAAAAAAATTTATCACAAAATGCCACCGGGAGCCACCTCAAATGGCACGTCCGGACAGAATCTTCTATATAAGGACTTATTTGACGCCTTTTTTGCAACTTCGAGAACCAAACTGACCCTTTACTCATAACCGAATGCTCTCTAACCGGCGTAGAACGATCCCAAGTGAGGGTATGTGGCCCCAAAAGAATTCAAAATGCAAAAGATAAAGGAGAATTCAAAATGCAAAAGATAAAGGAAATGAGGGAAACTAATTAACGGGGCAACACAAAAATTAATTTTCCTTGCACCATTTTTTCCGCCGCGAGGCTGTACACGCGAAATAGGACCAACTTAACTCTCTTAACCATATTATATACGAAGTAGATAGGAGAGTATACCAAAAAACAATCTTTGTTTTAGAAATTGTCAAATCAGTAATAGAGTTGAATTGTTTGGTCTGATTGATGATTGTATTAAAACAAATAAAATATAGTCCGTATTAGTATTGGTAGCTATCTAAGAAAGCTAATTCCCATAGCTGAGTCGTCTCATCGTTTTCTCTTCTCTCTCTCTTACATATCAAATGATCAAGCAGATCACTTCTCTCACGTAATGGATTTTAATTAGCTGTCAATCATTGTGTTTATATTACTGTAACATACACCAAATAACACCTCAGGTCACATTATTCTACACGTACCTAGCTACCTACCTATTATATGCTACGTATAGTATATGTATTAAATTATAAACATAGTAGCACGTACTGCTCCCTTCAATTCCGTCTCATCTATATATATATATATACCCATCATCACCTTCTCCGCTTATACATCCTCACTTATAACTTTATAAGCTTATTTACTCATCACTTTTTCAATAATTGGTATTGGTATGATCTGGTGAGCTTCAAAAATTTATTTTATCAGATGTCTGTTTGATCGATCATATCACCAGCACGCAATTAATATAACGTATGTATACATAGATTTTATGTTCTAATCATCGATCATATATATCATATCACAAGAGCGCAGCTAGCAGAAACTCATCAATTCGATCAGTTTACTGATAGATGCATGGTAGCAGAAAGCAACAATGTCTTGCTTAAGCTTTGCCAACCGGGTACGTTAAATGTCGAATTCATTCCTTATTTTTTTATTCTTCAAATAGGACTCGTTCATTCCTGTTTTGGGAAGTTTTTGTTAATTTATTCTTTTAATAGGACTAAATAAGTCCTATAGAAATAAAACATGTATTATTGTTATAGATATACAAAGTATATACTATCCTCCGTATCGCATTAGTTACAACATTTGCAAATTACACACTATTCGTGTACTTTACTTTGACTATATTTTATTTATAAATGTATGTGAATTATTTTTTTTAAAAAGATCGTTGAATTCGTCTCATTATAAAGTTTCATAATCTGATTTTTAAATATTTTTTACTAATACAAAATTAAATATAACAAAGGTCAAAGTTGTGCATTGGCAAACGTGAAAAAAATAAATGTTGCAACTAAAAAAGAATGAAAGAAGTATTAATATACTCCATATTTTTATTAAAAGCATCCACTTTCATATATACTCCACCTTTTCTTTTCTCACTCCATCTCATCAAAGTAAGTAATTTATTGTTCTACTCTTTTTCTTCTTTATACAATCGTTAATTACACAGTTTTTACTTTTCTTATTTCACCTAAAAGTTTGACAATTTCCAATGGACAGGCCTAATTTCGTTCTTTCAATATTGTTTAACGATCATGTGAAAATGACTTATTTATCCCCATTAAGAGGGTAAAGAAATAATATCGAGGAAATGTTTCATATTTTATTCCAATTTTAAAAAAAAAATCACTCGTTTTTATTTTCTCTTTTTTTTTCTCTATTCTATATTCACCTCCCCACAATTTTTTTTTTACGAAAATAAAATCGCGTTTCCCTTGAAAAAGTAGAGCACGTCATCGCTCATGCAACCCGTAGACGATGGTGGGGCCAATTGCGGTAGGAGAAGAAGGTTACACGAGGGGAGCATTGCACTGTTTTACCTTCAATAATTCTTTTTAATACTCCCTCCGTTCTTTAATATTAGTCCTCTTAGGCTTTGGCACGAGTTTTAAGAAGAAAGTAGTAGGGGTAGTGTAAAAGATGTAATGAGTAGTGGGTAAATGAAAAAGTAGGAAAAAGAAAGGGGTAATGGTAATAAAAGTTGGGGTATAAAGGTATATTTAGAGTAAAAACATTCCTTAAATGGAAAGGAGGACAGATAAAAAAAACGTCCCAAAAAGGAAAGAATGACTAATAAAAAAGAACGGAGGGAGTACTCCGTAACATAACACGGAGTTCTGCGTAAGCAATATGTGTAGAATTTGCATATGCATACTTTATGTAGAAATTGCTTATTTCGGGGATTTATGTATAGGCTATGGTGGGCTGAAGCTCAGGGCAGTTTAAAAAATTATCAATGTAAATTTTTAATTTTTTCATATTTATCTCACATCGCTAATTTTTAAGCCTAGTATATTTACTTTTCAGCACAGGGCATCCCGTAATTCTGGATCCGGCCCCTCCCTGCTAGTTATTCCTATTAAGAAAAAACATATTGCTACGTAGTACATTGCATTTTCCTATGGTATAAATGTGATTAACAAATCGAGCTTGACATGTCTCATCTTATAAAGACAAGTCGACAACCTCACACAATTTTGTGTTCAAAAGAATGAAATTCTAGCTAATACTAGTAAGTAAACACATAAGTATATGCTGTAATAGTGCAATCCTTCCCAAAGGCGAAGCTGGACCAAGATTAAAAAACAAATGTGAAGGCCAAAACTTCATCTTTGTAACACAATTTTTACTACGAAAAGAATTAATTGGAGGTGGAGGTCCCTTCCGGCCCGCCCCATTCTTCCTGATATTTGTACTTTAACTTTCAATAATGACGAGTGGTTAGCCACTTAAAACTGGGTCTGCGTGAGATTATTGAACTGAACGTGACACGGCTGAGTCCTGAAATTTGGCAAAAAAAAAAGCCTCTGGATCGAACAGTCTCACACGACAAGTAACAATCAGCTGACAGACTGGGAATAGACGAACCCGCCGCTCGCTATATATCCTGCGATGGATCCCTCCTCTGATCTGCTTGAAGAAAAGAAATCTCTCTTTTTTTTTGCTTTCGGTCGGAACTTCACTCCCATGTTTTTTCAGGTTTATTTAGTTCAGGTGTTATCACTCTTTTGTTTTCTCTTTGAGTGGGCTACCAACTTCTATTTCATCCAATTGGCTAAGCATTCTTTAATAATATATACGGAGTATATTTTTTGGATTAATTTGAAGTCGTGAGAAGCTAAGATAGGTTTCTATACAGGGCAGGTGTATCAATTCAATTAGAAATCAATATAGGTAGTTTGGTCTGTTTGATGTTTTATTTGCCCAACCATAATTAAAATCATTACCTTATGCTTTGATACAAGCAAGCCTGGTGAGGCCTAACTTTAATTAATTAATTAATTAATTAATTATAGAGTCCAAACCAGCTCTCGCTTTCGCCCCGCCCGCCAACACTTGGACATTAATGTTAAAGTCCGGCCATCATAGATCTTTTTTGCTATTTAAAATCTTACGGATTCTGATTGGTGAACCTCATACTCTATTTAATAGGGAGCGCCGCATGTATTAAATGAAATTGCTTCAATTAACATGTTTAGTTTGTAAGGCAAAATAGGCAATTAAATAGCTAAACTGGCCCGATATATTAAAATTATTACTGAAGTAGTAGTTGATCGTCAAAATTCCCGATGGGTGTGTTTGGGAGTTGAATTGATATGATGATGATCCTCATATTTTTGTTTGGGAGTTTAAAATTAGTATAGGAATGCTCAATTTGTTTTGGTGAAGCTCCAAAGACTTTCAAAACCTCAATTTTTATGTTCCTTTAAAATGGAGGTTATGATGGATAACGAATTTAATGAGTTCAACTATTTAAATTTGTCATATTTTAATTTTAATTATAATTCTTTCTAAATTTTCCTTTTATCAAATTTAATAAGAATAACTAACTGGCTACTTAAACAATGTACTATTCCTCTTCCATTTTAAATAGAGAGTACTTGGCAAGGATATACTTCTTCCGTCCCTTATAATTCTATCAACTTTTTATTGATTGTCCAACAAAAACAATTTTGTCACTTTCTTTTTTAAATATAGAATTTGTGGTTGTTAATTTTTCTTTTTCTATCTTAACTGCATAATTTTTAATTTACTATTTTACATGTGCATTTAACTTTGACAAAATTAGGAGGGGCGGGAGGGACGTGTATTGCGATTGAATTCAACCATCTAACCTCAGCACTATTTACAATAGTGAAATTAATTAATGCTCTGTATTTAATTGAATATATATGTACTCCCTGTGTATTGATTTGGTTTATTAGGGCCAAAAAGAGGAGATTATCGTCGGCGGAGGAGGGAAATGCACCCTTGATGGAAGTATTGATCGGTATGGTCGGCCAGCTGTGAGGAGCAGCACAGGAGGGTGGGTCTCGGGCGTGCTTTTGCTCGGTAAGTACATGCATAAAACTTTACTTTCTCAAAGTTAATTAAAATGTTAGATAAGGACGTGTTGTTCACTTCATAGTTGAGACCTACTTGCATGAGGGGATGCTCCCTTAAACTTTATCCCTATCTAACTTTCTTTATTGTCCTCACAAGTTACGTACGGATCGAGTAGTATATTTTTACCCTCTTTTTCACCTGTATTATGTAGGGCTCCTCATTACAATCCAAAAAGGACCTATTCTTGTGCGTATCATTTTCATTCTCTGAAAAACTACTATTCTCTTGTGGGTGAACAATGTATCAACGGAGAAAAATATATTGCACAGACAGCGTGTATGGAAAATGGCATCTACAAATAGTTTTTTTGCCAAAAAAATCATGTTTGATTCATGTACAATCCAATATTGTTTTAATTTAACCATAGATTCGAGTCATAATTTAGGAATTCCTTGGATAGTTGTAACTGAATAACACTAGCCTTGTTTTCGTTCCTTTTTCTAGCAATTTCATGAAAAGTTAGCCTAATTTGATAAAATAGTTCATCTTTTACAGAATTTTTTACACTTTTACTTCAATGTCATTGACACTTTTGATAATCTACTTTTATTTTTTCCACTTTTAGTGCTTGACTATTGCGCTAGAGATACTTTTGGTACCTGTCTTTAAAATTTTCATATTTAAGGCGTTTTTACTTGGACTGTAATTTGCTGGTCTAGTCTGGTTTGATCTGGTCTGGTTTCTTGTATTTTTATAACTATCCAGTCTGGTCTGGTCTGATTTTTAGTCTTCTGACTTTCATATAAGTAACACTTTTGGTCCTTTAACTACTACTACCTCCGTCTCGAATTGATTTGCAAATTTGATTTTTCTTGGTCAAACAATTTCATTTTATTCGCTTAATTAGGATGTCAATTTTTAATTATATTCTAATTTGAAGTTTGCAACTTTGAAGAGATTTCAATGTAGTTTCTGAATATGTAAATTTTAATTATTAAAAATTGAATTAATTATCGATAGAGAGGATTGACTTTTATTATTGGTTGACAAAAAATGTTGACTTTGCAAAACAATTTGGAATAGGGGAGTATAATAATGACATTTTTAGTCCTCCGTCTATTGTGTCAAATTCATAATGGAAGGATTGAAAGTGTCAATTTGATAATACTCAGGGGACTAAATGTGGGAAACTTTGGGATCGGGAACTAAAATTGGAAAAATTAAAAGTCAGATATCAAAAGTGTCAATGACACACTAGTCGGGGGCCAAAAATGGCAAAAACGCATCTTTTACCTATAGAATAACTTTTCAAACTTAATTGATTTTGAAAGAAATTGTTCAACATAAAAAAGTAAATTGTACACAAAATCGATTCCGCCCACAGACCAATTGAAGCAGACTAGATTAGACAATATGAGACGGCTCAATCAATATTAATATGCACATAAAACTGATCTGTGCCAGGAGAGAACTGTTGAACAGCATGCATGTTTGAATAACTTTTTCTTTCTTGAAAATCACATATAATTAAAATTAGTTTTCCCCTAATAAGACATGATGATATTATTATTTGGACTGAACAAATTTTCTAAATCTAAAATATAATTATTTCTGAAAGTGGACTGATTATATTGTGCTCTTTTGAGCAGATGGTTTGTAATAACGATTATCTTCTTAAGCCAATGTTTAATCCATATCGCGCCATTTCAAAAACTATTGTTGGTAAATTTAAAATATAAAAGTTGTATTGATTATTGTATACTCGGGATTATATATGTATTTTGATTGAAAACGTCCGCATGCATTACAGTGAACCAAGGTCTAGCTACATTGGCATTTTTTGGGGTGGGAGTGAATTTGGTCTTGTTTCTGACTAGAGTCATGGGGCAAGACAACGCTGAAGCAGCTAACAACGTGAGCAAGTGGACTGGCACTGTTTATATCTTTTCTCTCCTCGGAGCCTTTCTAAGTGATTCGTATTGGGGAAGATACAGAACTTGTGCTATTTTTCAGGCCATTTACGTCATTGTGAGTCACTTTTTTTCTTTTCCTCGTCCAATTTCACAATCGTTAGTAGTTTTCTATTCCATTTAAATTTTTCTAATCTCATCTATTCAGTTAATAATTGGTCTCATCTGGTGAGCGTTTGATATAAGTGTATTTTTATTGTGTAAGTCTGATCGGATTTGTATGAATCTGGTCCAATCTAATCGTGTCAGATCTCTTATATTTGTTTTATTGTATAAAACAATAAAACATTATATAAGATCTTGAACTACACTTCCTATTAGGTTAACTTTTAAGATGAAACTCAAGATTTCAACAATATACTTCATGAAAACGCAGGGCCGTCTTTGAGGGTTTTGGTTCCTTGGACGAAGACTATAATCAAATATTCTCTCCGTCCTTTTTAATTAGTTATTTTGTATTCCTAGTCAATGAGGCTAAATTTTAATCGATAATATATTTATATACGAGAAAGGGATTAAATAAGGCATTCTACTATTACAGAATCGTCACATAAGGCTGTGTATTTATTAATTTATTTAAAAATACTAAACCTTAATATCAAAAAAAATTGGAACCAAAAATCTGAAACCGAACCAGATTGGAATCGTAACCGCCGGTTTTAGAACCGGTATTGTGCAATGTTAGTTCCGGATCCCTAAAATTTGGAATCGCGAACCGGTGGTTTGGTTCCAATTACGGTTCAGTTCCTATCCGGGGACACCTCTACAACCCTATCATTTATAGAATCTCAGTTTGACTATATTATGTTATTGGTATGTTGATCTTAAATATCTCATATGTGTACTTATAATTTCCATAATAAACTAACTTTTGAAAAATATATATTACAATGAAGTATATGAAATTAACTTTGTGTGATTGAGTAAAGTGAGATTTGTAAATTAATGGTAAGTTTATGAAGTATGACTCAAAAGTCAAAATAGGACTATAATTATATTGCGGGAGAGAGGAGTATAATTGAATAGACTCATGATAACATATTAACTTTGCTCTTGTGCAATCCCCACTTAAAGGAGAAAGGATGATGTTTACCCTTAGAATACTTATATAGGTACAATGATACAAACAAATATATTGTATATCTCATATGGATGGAGCAAGACCCTAAAATAAACTAAGAAAAGGTGAAAGATACTACCTCCGTTCTCTTTTAGTTGCAACATTGGACTTTTTGCACTATTGACATGTTCTACTTTGACTACATTTTATTAATTGATGTATAATAAATTAAATTTTTAAAAAATATTGTTAAATTCTTCTTATTCTAAATTTTCAAAATATGATTTTTTTAATTTTTTTACTAATAAGGAATGAAAGATATTTATGGTCAAACTTGTGCGTTGGCAAACGTGAAATGTTGACTGTTGCAATTAAAAAGGAACGGAGGAAGTATAAAACAAGTTGAAAAAATTTAGGGAAAAATACTGATATAGGACCAAAACTCGTGACAACTCTCAAAATATGACTATGCGTGATTCCTTCCCATTATATAATTAAGCACATATGAAATAAAATAAGGAAAAGATAATTACGAATGGCATGCATACATACTATGTGGCATTACATTAGTGGGAAAATATAAGTAAGTTTTGATAAATACGCAAAGTTTTAGTCATACAAAGGTAATTTATCTTACATTTGATGGTGTACATTATTCATACTCAATGGATGGATGGATGCAGGGACTTGTGTCACTCTCAATATGTACGCATGTATTTCTAATGCAACCGAAAGGTTGTGGTGACAAAGAAACCCCTTGTGGAACCCACACGCCGGTCAAACTGGGCCTATTCTACGTATCAATCTACCTAGTTGCCTTAGGGTATGGAGGGTACCAACCCAACGCGGCTACGTTTGGGGCAGACCAATTTGATGAGGATGAGCCTGAAGAAAGCCACTCGAAGGTGGCCTTTTTCAGCTACTTCTACTTGGCCTTAAACCTAGGGTCCCTGTTTTCGAACACGGTGTTGGTCTACTTTGAGGACAAGGGGATGTGGGCATTGGGATTTTGGGCGTCAACTGCTTCGGCCTTCTCTGCTTTAGTATTATTTCTCATCGGAACATCTGGATATAGGCATGTCACGCCCCAAGGCAACCCTCTCTCAAGGTTTTGCCAAGTCGTGGTTGCAGCAGCCAGAAAATGGAAGGTGCAGTTTCCTTCCGATACTAATGAACTCCATGAAGTTGATGGAGAGAATGGCACCAGAAAGCTCCTCCACACCAATGGTTTTACGTAAGTTTTGATCTATTTATGTGCATGATTCTTTTAATTTAAGCCTGGCCGAGTTGAATTGTTGAATGAAATAATGAATACTAATATGGCAATTTAATGAGAATGCAACGAATGATTCAAATTAAAGTAGAGAATCTTTAAAATGATTGAATTAAATTTAAAGTGACTTTGGTTCGTCATTTAATCAATTTTGTGTGGGATCAATATTCATAGGATTGTCACCACAAAAACAACAGAGTATATATGCAAAAATTTGTCATTGATTGACATGAACTTTTGGCATAGCTCCGTGTGAAAGCTTCTGTAGCTTGATGTCATATTGTCTTTTTTAAAAGTAGCGAGTCTAACACGAGTATAACTTTTATCAACCTTTGTTAAATTCCTTTCGTAGCTTTTTCTATCCCGGCGTGATCCTTACTTAGCTATATATCTCAAAGATTGGCTACTTTTAATATATTTGTAGTTGATACAATTACTTCTACGCTCTACATACATCTTAACCACCTAGTTTTAATTAAATTTTCTTTCATCTTGTAAATCAAATATGGGCGGTTCAAAATTTGTCACACAATGATACATGACATGAAATACATAATTACTTGCTAATTAATGTGTGGATGCAGAATTTTGGATAAGGCGGCGATTGTTGCACCAAAGATGGCGAGCATGGATTCATGGCATTTGTGCACTGTCACTCAAGTGGAAGAAGTGAAATGTATTTTAAGGCTCCTTCCCATATGGCTATGCACTATCCTATACTCAGTAGTCTTTACCCAAATGGCATCTTTGTTCGTAGTACAAGGTGCTGCAATGAAGACCGACGTGTCGGGCTTCCACATCCCAGCGGCGAGCATGTCCAGCTTCGACATCCTTAGCGTCGCTGCATTCATCTTCATCTACCGCCGCCTTCTGGACCCCTTGGTGGCGACCCTGAAGAAGAAGCGTGATGTGCGAGGCGGGTTAACTGAACTGCAGCGGATGGGGGTCGGTCTGATCATAGCTATCACCGCCATGGTGGCTTCCGGTATGGTGGAGTACTTTCGGCTACAGTCCGCCAACGAGAATTGCCCGAGATGCGAGAACACAAGCCCGCTAAGCATATTCTGGCAAATTCCCCAGTACACACTGATCGGGGCATCCGAGGTTTTCATGTACGTTGGACAGCTGGAATTTTTCAACAGGCAGTCGCCGGACGGGTTGAAGAGCTTCGGGAGTGCCCTGTGCATGACATCAATCTCCCTTGGGAACTACGTCAGCAGCCTATTGGTCAGCATTGTGATGAAGGTCTCGAGAAGCGACAACAAGATGTCCGTCGGGTGGATACCCGCAGACCTTAACAAGGGCCATTTGGACAGATTTTACTTCCTTTTGGCAGGCCTTACTACTGCCGATTTTGCAATATATTTGTTGTGTGCGAAATGGTATAAGTATATTGAGTTTGAAGACAGAATCAATAACTGTCAAGGCAATCACATATTGATGGAAGGTCAACATGCTAGAAATTCCAAATTCGCAGCCATGGTCATCGTCTAAAATAAATTAAGCAATACTCCCTACTCCATAGTATTATATATACTATTATCTAGCTACATGTGTGTATTAGTTTATGTATATGAGTCTTATATATATATATATATATATATATATATGTATATATATATATATGTATATATATATATATATATATATATATATATATATATATATATATATATATATATATATATATATTCAGACAGTATTATAAGGAGTAACATTTTCCGAAGAGACTAAGCTAGTAGTTTCTTTGAGCTGGCTAGTAGGTATATCTGGATATGTCTTTAATAGTCTGTATAAATATACATAGTATAATGTGTCTATAACTCTCTATATATATACCGTGCATTGGGAAACTAGCTAGCTGGAGGAGGTTTATGTACGGGTTGCTTATTGTGTAGAACATCGCTTGCATGCAATTCCTCATCCTCTTCTCATCACATACTATGTAAATTTTTCCATTTGTAATTAATCCATGTAAGTTTTTGGTGAGTACTGAACAAATGATGTTATATACGGAGTGGTTAATTACCTATATATGTTTTACATGCACTATATGTCAATATTTGTGTATGGGTTTTTAATAAATATTTGAAAATATTATAGATGAATGGGTACGCTCATCAATCAATTTTTATGTGGTGACCTAAATGCTTTTCTGGGAGAATTGAACTGGGAGAAAGTTCCCTATATAAGAGTAATACATTGCAAAATTTCTTAAATTGGAGTTATATACACTGTTTTATTCTCAAAATAGACTCATGCACTCATAATTAGAGAAAATTTTATTCTCTAATCTTTATATATATAAATGGAATCGGCTGAACAAAACTTGTTCCCGCCTAATCCCTTATTCCCTACTGCCTGATAGATGTAATGCGTACGCGGGTGATAAAATTACTTTTTAAAATCAGAAAACACAGTAATTCGTAAAGCCTAAATTATACTACCTCCGTCCCTTAAAACTTTGCCAAGTTTGACTGGCACGGGGATTAATAAAGTAAAAACTGTGTGGTTGAGGTTTGTGCAGAGGAGAGAGAATTAACTGGAACCACAAATTCTTTACTTAAAAGGGAAAGTGGCAAAGTTAATGGGACATCCAAAAAAGGAAAGTTGGCAAAGTTTCAAGGGACGGAGGGAGTATAGCTTTTTAATTTTGACACGTAATACAAATGGCAGTTCCATTTAGCACTTTCTACTCCATCATGTGTAACCATCTCACACGTTCACCTTATCCAACTCTAAATTAACTGCCCCCTACTACATTAAAGACCACTGTCATTAGCAAATGAAAAACAAAACTCTTTTTCTTTTTTGACAAAACTCTGTCAAATTGAGAAGCAGAACTATCAGGTATGTATTTTGTATTTCTAATGTTTATTGAATAGATGTTTTTAACAACAAAAATGAAACATAAATTGATACTACAGACGTAATAGGGAGCATCCATTTGATTCACTCTCATGGGCCGCAGGAATACATTGGTGAATGTCAAAATCTATATTATGTGATTTTGGAAGATCCTGGATAATTGATATTATACACATAACATATACTTCGTACTAAAATGTCTACTTTTTTTACTTCTTAAAAACTAACAGACAACGGATGATGAGATGTACATTGGGGGTTCAAAACATGCACTGAAGCAATTTAAAAATACATTGGGGAAATATCGCAGGCTAATGCTTCATAGGCAACATCCTCACAAACTAAGGTTCATTTGTTATTTAATTTTAATCAATTAAAATAACAGTAGTTGCTCTAAAAAATAATTAACACATTTTTTTTTATCACAATAAAGATTCTGGAAAGCATTGAGGATGTAACTGAAGCAAAAGAGCTTGATAATGAGGCATTCAAAGATGGTACGTACAGTAGACCTTACAATTGAGACTTCTACCCGGAATTTGTCCGTCCGCTCAAAAGGCAAAAGGGTTGCTAGGGATGATGAAACACACAGAAGAAAATGCCAAGGAAGACCATGACAAATGTTCATGTGAATATTGCAAAGGTCTGAATTTACAGCCACTTCTCTAAGATTGGCAATGATTATTGTGGAAGGCATTGTTATGCTATGGTGTTTTTAGTCATTCTTGTGTCTTAAGTTTGTGTATTCATACACAACATTTGTTGTTATACTATGGTGTTTTTAATCATTGTTGTGTCAGTACGTTGTTATTAAGTTTTGTCTAAGTTTGTGTTTTCGTGTATAACATCTGTTGTTATCTGAATTTACATTGTTGAATCCAGTGTTGTATATATTGTGTATTCATATTGAATATTTATGCTGAATCAATGTAGGTTATGATTATTATGTACTATATACTATGTACGGAGTATTATTTTGTTGGGTTTTACTCTACAGAATGTTTGAACTACTTATTTTTTTGAAGATGGTAACTTTTGGTATAAGCCTCTTTCACCACATCATTAACATTACATCATTTAAAAATTAACATGCATTAATATAATTTACTAATAAATATAATGTATCATTTGAATAATTAACACTATTTAACATTACTAATTAGCATTACATTATTTTGATACTACTATACCATACATGGGTTATACTACTACATCATACGTGGGTTTTACTGTTATTTGGATAAATATGATCTCCATAAATATTTCAATATGTCATTATTTACAATTTTACATTTTAAACAAAATGCAAATACACTTGTGCCCCGTGCATCGCACGGGTACTATACAAGTTCTTTTAAAGGGCCTAAATACTTCCTATTTTATGAAAAAGAAATATTTGGCCCGACCTATATTAAGACTAAAAGCAACATTTTGAAAATGAGAAAGTTGTTATTTTTCACAATTGATCTCATCAATATAGGTCACCATCACATGAAGTCATTAGAGGCAATTTAGTAAATTTAATGCATTAAAAATAAAAAAGGCAAGTTTCTTTTTATTTATTCTCTAACTTTTAGTAATATTCATGTCAAAACCCCTATGTTACGTTATTTAGTTGTGTTTTTAAATCTTAGTAAACACACCCCACACACGGTTTCTATTGTTACTTTTAGTGTTCACCCATTCCTTCTGATCTCTAGATTTAAATCATATGCTCTCTATCATAATAAAATACTTATTGTATGTGCTTCTTTATTGTATGTCTATATGTGTTTCTTTAAAAAATGACTATCGAAATCAAGCCTGGAAAAGAACAATGCAAATAGAAGGTTTACTATTATTTATTAATCCCATATTTTAAAGTGAGACTATTATGTTTATAGCAAACACAACTAAAGGAGCATATTTTTTCCTCATTATTTGGCTATCTATCTAAGCATCTATAATAAATAGACAAACAACAGATTTGTTTTACTTCATATGCTTCTATATAAGCTTCATGTATTTATTTATTCTACTCACAATATATATATAGATTTATATATATATATATATATATATATATATATATATATATATATATATATATATATATATATATATATATATATATATATATATATATATATATATATATATATATTACCCCGGAAGGCAAACCACCAAAATCAGTGGGGCAAATGTCGGGGGACATTTGCTTGTATTTTATTAATAAATCAATGGAACAACAAGCAGAGAGGGGGGCTAGGCCAAGATCTCTCCTGAAGAGGCATACCTCTTCCAAATACATGATGGTAAAATAAAACAAGCCAAAAATAGCTGAAAGAAAATCTAACTGGGGGGGGGGGGGGGCTAGACCTGACCCAACCAAAACAATTAAACTGAAAATATTAAAATCTAAGCGAAGGAATCCCAAAATAGTCCATCCAATAGGCCCGTTTTGCCTGAACCGGTAATTCATTTGGGCTGAAAATTTTAATTAATCCAGGAGAGCGGCCCATAGACAAAAAATGCGCGACCCAGTTCCCTTCCCTGAGCGAGTGTAATAAGCTCATCCGTTTCCTTTTTTTTTTTTTTTTTTTTGATTTTTTTTTTTTTTTTTTTTTTTTTTTTTTTTTTTTTTTTTTTTTTTTTTTTTTTTTTTTTTTTTTTTTTTTTTTTTTTTTTTTTTTTTTTTTTTTTTTTTTACTCCAGGGGGGTCTGGGGGGGGGGGGGGGGGGGGCTGGGGGGAGCCTGGAGTAATCAGGGCTGAAACCCACTCCATTGAGTTTCACACCCTTGTGTGCCTAGCGGGATTCGAACTCGAGACCTCCCACTAGGCACGGTAACTCGAGCCTGGAGTAAGCTCATCCGTTTCCTAATCAGAATCTCTGAAGTTTCCTGAATCAGAATTCTCCATCTCCTACAATCTTTACTTGCGAAATATTCTATCAACAA